ATTAATTTTCTATGCGTTTGGAAACTGACATTTCCTTGACGCAATTGTAAAGCCATGTACAGGTTTTAAGTAGGCAGGACTTTTAGACACCCATGCCTATACCATAACGAGTCATTTATTTCTAGATAGACACGATGCCATATTTGGTGGAAACTGGGTCCTGAATATTGTTGTTAAAATCGTGATATATCACTATGATTTTATGTTTTTATAATTTTTTTTTATCAAAATAATTTTACTTATATTTCAAACGTTTTTACAATTTTTTTACATTACGATTCTATGTTTTACGATTTTTTAATTCTCATCCGATTTTACTTAAGATCTAGATTTTAACAATTGATTGAAAACAGACTAATTGAAATTGAAGGCAAAATAGTTTTTGTCTCCTTTCGCCTGCCTTATTGCTCCATCTTTTGGCACTTTGACTATTAATTTTTCTTCTATATTGCTTTTTTTTTCTTTCTCCTAAGATAATTTGGGGGTGTGGATATGAACGAAAACTTGAGATAAATAATAAATTTATTAAGAATTTTGCTATATGTTCTTCAATTTTTTTCAATAATTTTCGTAATACTTAATAAAATAATGTACTTAATATCTTGAAAATATTAGAAGCAACCCAATAAAGAGATGTCGTTGACAAGACGGTTTCCTTTCACATGATCCAACGCAAGATCTGATCATTTATACGTATCCTGGTGTTTCGGGTTCTGTCTTTCTTGCTGGTTGAGAACTTTATAAATGAATTATATTAGTTAAAATTCTTTTCTTTTTTTCTGATATATTGAGGAATAAATCTCTTACCATTACACTAACTCTAATAGCTTGAGTTAAATTCTTTCAACATGGGATCTACTAAAAAAAAAATATTTGAACATGGAAACTTGGTATTCGAAGGAACTTTTTAGCTAATACGCTTTTGCTCTCTCAAAAAAACCATGCACCATGTGCTGACTAATAAGTAAAATGGTAAACGAGTTTGGACATGCTTCCACACCATTAACTTTTTGTTATTTTTATTGTTATTTTTACAGATCAATGTTTCTAGCTAATGATTACTTAGGGACTGTTTGGTTGAAGGAATCTTGTGAGAATGATAAATAAATGGGTGATGGGAATGTATGAAAGCAGCGTTTGGTTGAAGGTGGTTTTTCACTCTGCTACATAAATCTGATTCCTAACAAACGTATTTGCATAGGTATTTCAAGACAAAAAGCCGGCCAAGATTGCCCTTCTCATAGGTGGTTTTCCTGAAAAGCTCAATATTTTCACACATCACTTAAAAACCCAAAGACGAGCGTACCCCTTATTTGAAGTCTTTTCTTGAAATGCTAATCTCAGACATAGAAAATCAAACAGAGGAGACAACAGAGTTGGAGCTAGGTTCCAAGCAGAACAAAAATGCACAAATTCTTTCAATGCTTTTATATCCTTTTGGAACTTACATCTTCATCAGTATATAGACACGTACGGAATTGATAAAACTATCACAAATCATAACTATATCTCAACACTGTTGATTTTCGTTAATCAACTATTATTATTTATTGTGAATTAACAATTAAGGACTAGTCCCATCAATATAAATGACAAATTTAACTGCATTAATTTTAAAAAATTTATCCGATCAACTTTAATTGGACAATTTTTTTCTCCAAAAATTTTAAAATAGTAATTTTCCCATCAACAGCACGTGAGAAAGTTTCTCTGACTTGCTTGGTAGTTGGTAGAGTAAAGAAAAAGGTAATAATAAGTTCACGTGCGGTGAGATCAGCGACGGTAGTTTTACGCAGGTGTTGCGGCGCGTTGGCGACTGGGCTGTTTTGTTGTTGACTCAACGAGTTTTCGAGCTTTGACTAGCTAACCTAAGCTAACCCCAGCCCAAAACAACTATTTTCAAACTCGTCACTTACACCACTTTGATTGCAAAATTGTATCTTTTAACCCTTGTAGTTTGAAACTAGAATTTCCTACACACACAATATTTTGTGAGATTTGCAATAACAACAAAAAAAATATTTCAGCATGCAAAATGAATTTCTATAACATAACACAATCACTTTTCCTACAACATAACTTTTATAAAACCCTTGAAAGTATCATGTATACTCATTGTGATTATAAAAATGTATCACTTAAATCCTTGTGGTTTTATATATATATAAATGAATTGTTTTAAAAATTTATTTTAATTTATTTGGATTAATTCATTAGACGATAGATGTTTGAATATTGTGGTCTAATATTTTTATCGTGAAAATAAATTTAAGTCAAATATTATTTTATTTTGTTTATTTTTATGTGATATCATTATAATATTATAAACAACGTTATTAAACCTGACTCAGACATCAACTCGGACGTGGTACTGGATCATTGGGTCAATGGTCAGATCGGTAGGTCATTGGTTGGATTAGTTAACCCGGATATATAATAATATATATAAATATGAACATATAAATTTAATTATATTTTCTATTTTTAAAATGAGTTAAACAAAGTTTGCTAAATAAGCTCAAAAATTATCCAATTACATTTTTACAAATTCATAAAGCACAAATAAATAAAGGGTAATACTTCTCTTATGTTGCATAAGAGAAGTATTATCTCACCCAATGGGTGCAGCTCAGTTGGTAACTTGGCGCTGAGTTAGTGGGGTTGGATATGTGTTCAATTCCTGCTGAATGCATTCTTGGGGAGGGGGCTGAACCTTTAGCCATCACTGTTCCCCCGCACTCCGGATTAGTCCCATAGCCGGCTCAAAGAGTCGAAGCTCGTGGGGATATCGGAGGAAGCCAACTCGTCTCAAAGAGATAATTAGGGTTGGGTAACTCCAAAAAAAAAAAAAAGTATTATCTCATGCTCAAACAATAGTTAGGAGAGAGAAAAAAGTTGAAGGTGAGAGAAAAAAAATCTTGTGGGACCCATTTGAAAAATGTGAGTGTAGGAAATAATAATTTTTTTATGTAACATAAGAAAAATAATTCTCATAAATAAAAATGCACGCTATTATTCTGTCAATTTAAATTGCAACTCAGAATCCCCATAGCATACCTCTCAATGACTTTCAAAAGGCCAGATATTGTGAACTTATATTTTTCAAATTATCTACATTGAAATGACATATATCATATTTTTTTTAATTTATTATTCTGCAAATTGCTTCAGTGTTGAAAGCTGAAATTTGAGGTCATTGTAGAAAAGTATACTGCTAGCAAATAAAATTACAAAAAATTTTAAAAGGAGCTCTACATTTATTTCTAACAAGATGAAACAATTTTGGTTTTTTTATATAAAAATGCATAACCTGATCGTGTCACCAATTTTGTTTGGGTTTGGCTGAGTCCGATGCATAGTTGGTCAGATACTTGACTCGAACAGATTCGATGACTGGTTCGTCGAGTTTCAGGTCGATCAGGCCGGGTGGGGTCGTGTTTCACAACACTGATTATAAAAAGATTAAATTTAAAATAAATAATTTATTTAGCTAATACATCTTTAATTTCTCTAAAATAATATTTTTAATAATTAAATTTTAAAAGTTTATTTGATAATATCATAATTATATAAAATAAAAGTAAAAAAAAAATGTATATTTATAAAATCATGAGAGGTCTAATTTTATAACCACGATAGCTGTAAGTAAAAATTTGAAATCACATATGTTTAAATGATAAACTTATTTAACCACAATAAATTTGAAATCACAAAAGATTAAGTGATACACTATGAAATCACAAGAGATGGAAATAAAAGTTTTCCCTAAAATTATGATCAAAGTTGAAGGGATAAGTTGTATTCTAACCAAAATTTTACATAAAAAATATGAAATCATTAAAAAAATTAATTTAAAAAATATGTTCATTAGATTATATTACTCTCTGAATTAATATTAATATTATCTTATCCAAGTTAAATTTCTGGTTTGATTTTGGGATATGAAGTTGACGTTCGCGAGCAGTGTAAATCTGTTGCCGTGCGCGAAACATTAGGTAAGATATTAAACTGCTAACTAAGTCAACTGAACCTCTGTTTCAACTTTCTATCTGGTGATTAGACTTCAAACAAACTTTATCTTTTTGTTTTTATATTTCTCTTTCTCATGCTCTTCAATTTTCCGGGTCAAGCAAGAAAGTTTTTTTGGAAGACCAAAGATGCATCCAACTACTTCTACAAAAAACGTAACTTGTCTACGAGAAGACAAACTTGTTCACACCTCATTGTTAATGTCACTTGACATTTGTAATTGAATTACAAGTCTGAATCCATACAAAGACTGATGTAATTATGCACCAATTTCCTACCCACCAAAGCAGACACAGATACCTCATTGAATATTTATGGGAACATGAGCCAATTTTGTAAATGATGTCGTGTGAAATTTCAGCCTTAGAATTGCATTTGAAGCCAGATGGAACAGTGATTGCAAATAAATTGTCAGACATTGCATATGATAAAACTGATATTTATACAACAGCTCCAATAAAATAAAGGTACAAGTACAACCCCACAAAGCTGGTAACTACAGAGGAAAACGCTTCTTTATTTATCTCAACAAATATTCAAGCCTAGGTACTTTTTTTTTTCCTCTACAAAATCATTGGTGTTTATATACGTCCTATAAACCAATCATATTTATAGGGATAACCAAAAAAAAAAAAAAAGACAACTCTCCTGTTGAAGAAATTTTTTTTCTCATGCACACCTATCAAAAGTCATGCTGACTGTTTTTTATTTTTTTTTTCTCACTATGGGTCCACGCTTTGTTGTTTCTGCATTTGGTTATAAGTTTTTTCTGCAACCTTATAACCCATAGGCTCGCAACATTGCATGAGAAGTTGAAATTTTTCTATTAAGAGAGAAAGAAGTAGGGCTCCTCTTAAAAAAAATAGAAATAAAAAAGTGATTGGCACGAAAATAGAATTGAGGGTAATCAGAGAAGAGACTTCTTATACAACATGAAAAGTCTTTTTTCCTAAAAACAAATTGTACCCCTTTGCTCCTACCTCTCTTTTTTTCAACAAAATTATAAAAAAAAAAACCCCAAGTAAACCTATAATCCAAAAAGGGAAGGAAAAGCATGAGCTAACTCAATACAAGAAAAACTCGAATCCAAATATCTCCTTCGAGATCCAAGAGAAACATTAATGCGGAGAGTTTAATATTCAAAAATTAGATCAGACTGTCACCTTCCATTGCTTCAGGAAGGGTAAAGGGTCAGAATGGTAATAGAGGAATTGATCAACCAGCTGTACAATTGAAATAATGGTTTATTTTTTCCTCTACACTCTTCTATTGTCTCCGTTGGAATCCATTAGAATGTTCAACCTCTTGGCAGTTTTGGTGAAGTCCCTGAAATGAAAAAAGATTAACATGTTAAGCTCTAGTTTGACTACAATTTGCAATACAAGAGGATGGTGATTTTGATTCCTACCTGAATGGTTCATCTCCAATGTGTTTGACTGCCCCATTCATATCACTGTAAAGCACATGACTTAGCACCTCCGGTTTTTTTATGCAAAACATGTCTGCAAGTTTTCTGTACAGTTCATTGTAAGACCCAAGCAATGAGAGGTCTAGTGTCCGACCTACATCTTCTGATTCCATAAAAACTTTACATTGACCTGTCTCCAAACTAGCATCCTTATAATTATGGAACCTCTCACAAGAAGAGCGTTCTAGTAGGCCTTGTTGATGAAGAGCAGAACCTGAACCATCCGAAAAAATAGTCATTTTATCAGCATTTCCGTCAGATGAAGTATTACCATTAAGAACTGGGGTTACTGCATCAGCAGAGGTGTTCATAGACATCTGCTGCTTGGTGAGAATTGTTTGGCCAAAAAGCACAAGCTGGGGAGCCTTAACATCATTCAGTTTTTTCGAAGACTCAGGAGAACTTGACATGGATAGTAGGCAAGAGATGTTTTCAGTTGTGTTGGGCTTTTGCAATGCTGGGTTATTGGAGACCCTCATTGGTGTAGCAGTGTGATCAAGTGGCTGGAAACCCGGGAAACCAATCTGTAATAGACCTGAGTGCAGTTTATTGAAGTGCAGATCCGATAAGGATATACCATAATGAGCATGCCTGGCTCCCTGCATGCCAGCAGGAGTAGTTTCAGGGAGACAACCAAAGGGGTTGCTGGGAAATGTTGGCACTGAAATCTGGTCATCGAAGGGAAAATATGGGTTTTGAGGTAATCTCAATTTCTTCCGTGGTGGTGAGAAAGGGGAAAGATGGATGGTAGGCATGTTTGATACCAATTCAACCAACCAAGGGTTCACCCTTTTTACATTTTGAAGTAACTCTGGTTCATCCCATGTAACCTAAAAATATGACTTCAGAAGGTTATTCAGAGCTGAAACAAAATAGAGATTTACTTGCACAAAATAAAAAGGAGGGGCTTCAATGCTTTCATATGAAAAGCGGGGGCATATAACATGGTTTTAAATTTGATAAACATGCCAAACGGAATTAGAAATGAGATGCTCATCAAACATAATGAATTTCGTTAATAATTTCTCCAGTAGAAAATTTATCAGCAACAGCAATGTTTCGCTGTTCCTATATTATTTAGTCCAAATGCGCAAACAATTTTTCACATCAACTTGCTAACTCTAACATGTATAAGAAATGAGATATGTAAAGGTCCTGAATAAGAATTCTATTAAAGTCCCTTAATAACTAAGCTACCAATAATACATATTGTGCAGAAAAAAGAATTCAAGGACCACCAGAATGAAAGCACAACTTACCATTTCTCAGTACTATGTAATAGAGTATGTTCTGCTCTAGTTCAAGGATATCAAGTTTAATAAACATGATTATACCTGGAGAAGTCTCCAAGGAGAGTCAGGCCATCTAGGATCGGCAACCTGAACAGAAGATATGGTACCCATAAACCAACTTATCCGCGAGGAGTCCTCAGTTTCAAAGGGCATCTTGAACCTCATTCCAGGACACCACCTAATCTGCAGTGCTGCTCTAACCAACGAGGCCTTAACACAAAACTCAGGAGTACTTGCCCGAGGGTAGTAAACAACCTCAAAGGGTTGCTCATTGGTGGCAAGTGTTGCAGCTTCAATAACAGCTTCGGCCCTTACTTTCCCTCTACCCATCAAGCTTGCATTTGAGCTCAATCCATTGCCATTACCATTTCCAAGGAGCTGGTTATCATCCTCTCTCAAAAAGGCCGAAAATACACCATAAGGTACAGGGCGAATTCCACCTCCTGGATTCCACCCTGATGAACCCTCAGGTCCACCATAGTTTCCCCTTTTAGCCCGCCGAATTCCAACACGTAGATCCCCATTTTCTGCTCTTAAAAACACAATTGAATCCCCTGCAACAAGCTTCTTGTTGTTGACAAAAGTACTCCAACCAGTTGTCAACAGATGCCGCCGTGGCGTGCCCCTATAAATGTGCCTGAATTTCCATGTTTCGCCATGAACGTCTCTGGCAAGGATGTTTTGAACAGGAGGATCCGCTATATAGTCTAAGCGAGGAAAAATTGTCTCTGCACAAAATCTAGGAACAGAAAAGCCACCACCATTGTTGGCATCAGATTGCGTCAAGGTTTTTGCAAAGGAAGCGGGTTTGTCCTTTGTTTCACACCCATTGATGCCTCCAACACCATCATCCTCAAAATCAGCAGCATCATTATTGTTCAGAGGAACAAGCCTAAGTTTAGCATACACCTCGTCTGTTTCAGGATCAGCCATGTATTTGATAGCTGCTACTCTGCATTGAATGAAAGGTCGAATTTTGGGGTAAGCCCTGAAGTCCACGGGTCCACATGCATGTTCAGCGTGGCCCTGGGGGAAGTAGAAGACCTTAGCGTTCACCGTTGGCATTTGCACCATCCCTCCCGCACAAGCATGCCATAGTTGAGGATCCAAACACTTTTCCATCTCTTTCGATTTCTCTTTTGACTCCTCACACGTCATCATCTCAGTTGGAGCTAAATAGCAACTTTTTCCACTGCAAAATTCCTGCAACCATGTAAAATTTCTTAAATTAAGATTGGCCAAGAAGGATGATGATGGGGCAGGAAAATATATATATATTTTTTATTTCTTATTTTCCATCACTTTTCAAGGATCAGTAAGTAAATTGCATTTTATGAATCTCATACCTGAAAAAGCATATATGATCGCAACAAAGCTGAAAACACAAGAATCTGTGCCACTTGTCCACAAAAAATCATAGAAATCCCCAACAAAGTGATTGCAACAGAATCTCAAGTCGATGCCCACAGTTCCTGGGGTCCCAACTTTGTTGATTGACCAATTCTGTTTTGAGAGGTTTCCTTCTCTCTCTCTTTTTGCACGGTAAAATAACTGGTTTTTCTCCCCAATTTGGACACCTCGGAGAACCTTATTTTAAAGGCACAAGCAGAAAGGCTTTGTTTCCAAAATTCAAAAATCTCACAGTTGCCCCATGCTAACGAGTTCAAACTTCAAACCCAACATGTTTTAAAAGAGGATAGCTCAAACAGAGAAGAAGAGTGGAAGGGAGAGTTTGGGAGACAGTGAAAAAGGTTGTAATTGAATCATTGTAAAAATCAAAACCTGTAGAAAAAGCACAATTCAAGATCAAGGAGGCTACTACAACAGTTTCGGACTCAGTCACTGTCTTGGGGCACGACAAGATAGAAGGTAGAAGGATGATAAAACCAGATATATAAAAACCAAAATAAAATCCTAACTGACTATGCGAGAATCTCTGCACCAATATCTCAACCAAACTCCACAATTTAAGTTCACAATTCTCAAATCACTCATCCCAACCCAAAACTTTTTTTGTTTTATAAAATAAAAATCAGTAACAGAATTTTACTATACTGAATCTTTAGCGTTCATAGATTCAAAGTCACGAGATGATGAATTGTATGGCCGACACGGATGCGCGTATAAGAAGCCGACATAGACCCACACTATTACAGAGCATAGCAGAACAGAGAAACCTTTTTCTTTCAAAGTTTTAGCTCATGCAATGCAAGAGTCCAAACAACACAAACAAGAAAAATAACAGAAAAGGGCTTTTTTTTTTTTAACTAGAAAGACCCTGTGGTGTGGTACTGGTGGTCACCTTAATAATAGTGTGGGACACTTGGACCGTTGCTTTTTTTTTTTTTTTTTAAACTTATATTTTTTATCCACTTTGTTCTTGATAAGAAAAAAAAGAGAGAAAAAACTTCGGCTTTTTCTTCGGATCTGAAGAAACCCTGTAACTTGAGAAGCCAGCAAACCATTTTTTTTTTTTTTTTTTGTATTTAACATTATTATTTATTAAATTAAAGTGTCAAGATTCATGAATAATACAAAAAATAAAATGAGTTTATTTATTTTGGTAGTTGGAGAGGAGATGAAGGGGACAATAGGTTCCGACTAGAACTTAGGAGCCGACTCAAGCCGTTAATTAAACCTTGGTTAAGTTGAGCGAAACAGATTAACTCTATTTTCAAACCACGGGTTAACCGGGTCATGTTTATTTTACCATTTGTGGCATATCCCAAATGGTTGTTGGCTTCACTCTCTTTTTTGGTGCTTGAAAACACACACACCTACGAGTCAATGTCCAAGGAGTTGAGTGTGTCACGTGTGAACAAGGACAACGTTAAATCGTCAATATAACATTGTAAACTTTTCGTTTGAGGCGATGCTTTAAAAATTAGAGTGGGTGCTGTATCGACGAGGGTTTTGCTAGTTTATGATTTATTAGTTTGATATAAGATGAATAGATAATTTTAGTATCATGTAATATAATAAATAATAAATAATCATTTGATATAAAACAATAAAAATTAAGTTAAATAAATTTAAAATTAACTTAAAATTATTATATTATATCTGTTGTAAGATAAAAAATAAATGATATGAAGTTAAATAATAATAATTTATTCTTGAGCCTTTATATTTTGATATTAAATTTTTTTGTCTTAAAAAATATTTTAAATTGAATTAAAAAATAAAATAAAAAGTGAAAAGAATTGGTTCAAATAAGTTATTTACCATTGGTTCTCTGCTTATTTTCATAAATTTTTGGCTAATTCAACCAATTTTTTGATCGGTTATTTATTAAAGTTTAATGGACCAAACACCTAATTGATTCATTGATTTTCTGATCCCAGGATGTCTTATTAAATTTTTTTATTTTTCCCATCTGTAAATGTAGCTTCTTTTTATTTTTTATTCTTACGAAATCTTTAGTATCCATTTCCATCATAGTCTATGACTCTATGTACTCCGTATAGGTTGGAAATGTTGCATTTTCCGAAAGATTTAAACAGTTATAAAGTAAGTAGCATTTATATTTACCGTAATTTTAAGTTTACCATTCTTATTATTTATTTAGTTACTATTTAATTAATTTAAAATCAACGATAAATTTAAAATAATATTAAGTCTAATTTTCTCCAATTGTTAATATTACTTATTAAAGTTCCTCCCACCTTCAATGTGACTATCATTTTTACTACTTCCTTCACCGATGTTGGCATTTTTTTTCAATCGTTGCATTGTCATCGATCGTTGTCAGACGCGCCTCATCATACCACCATCCATCAACCTTTTGGTTCAAATTAAACAAGAATTTTTGCTTTGTACCCCCAAAAGGGAAAATATTTGCTTTGCCACAAATGGACAAAATTATGAAGTATCTGCAATTTCAGATTACCTATTAACTGAGTTTATTTTCTGTTTAGATTAATTTTAAGAAAATATTACTTCTTAAAAAAATTACTAATAAAAGTTCAAGTTATTTTCAACACAAAATAAGTTAATCTACAATCTTGAAAATAGTGACAATCTACGATTCTGAAAAATCTTGATCATGTATATCAAGTTGCAACCTAAACTGTTTGACAAAAAAAAAAAAATTATTGATTCTTTTATTAATTTGTTAGGCTTTGCTAAGAAACATGTTGCTATTATATTAGTATTATTATTTTTTAATTCATAAACATGAGAAGGGTTCGATTCATTTATTTAAGATGCTTAGTCTACCATTATTAATACAGGATAACTTTGTCTGTCGTAGTTGAATTGGCTGGGAGTCAACAAAGACTCTTTTTTTTTTTTTTGGATATGTCATCAACAAAGACTATTAAACGTGGATTCTAATAGATAGTGCCACTGAGCTATTTTAAATCATATGATAATTAAAATTTTAAAAATGAACAAAATTATAACATTTAAAATTGTCTTTGAAAAAAGACTGGACTGGATCGTTAGTTTATCCAACGAAAGCTTCAAAAATCAAAAATAGATGGGTAAGATCAATTTAATCTAAACAGTCCGATCCACAAATTAACAATAAGTCGTAATTTATTAAATTTCATGAGTTAATTTAATTGGACGACATCATATAACGTGTCCAACATTAGTAAACTTCAAGGACCATATAGCATGATTTTTTATTCAGAGACTAATGTGTCTAACGCATTATTTCTTAGGGACATGGGGTGTATGACTTGACAACGGTCGGCAAATGTTATTTCTGATTAGAACGAAAATAGACAGGCTTAGAACATCTGGAAGTTGGTTTTAGGAGGGGAAGAGAAGGAAATGGAGGGTTTTAGTAAGTCATTTTCTTGTTTGTGAGTTTTAAAAAAGGAGTAGAAGAGTTTAGAGATTTTTACTAAACCCTCCAAAACCCTCCTTCTTCTTAAAATTAAAGTTCTCCCAATTTGGAGGGTTTGAGGGGAAAAATATTAAAAAATATTTATCTACCCTTAGCATTACAATGTTAAAACTACATAATTGTGAATCATCTTTAAATGCGATATTATTAGAAAAGTCTCAAATACCGCAGAATTTATCAAAAATAGTGATGAAATTTTTGATGAAAATCATATATGTCAAAATATTTCCGTAAAAACTAAAGACAAGATTAGAGACGGAACCAAATTTTGTCATAATCACTAATATAAATTTTGTACCGAAAAAAAAATTCAGTCAAAATTATTGATAGAATCTAAATTCTTGTCGAAAATTTTAACGAAAATATTTTCGTCCAAAATTTTGATGAAACACATTTCCATCGAAAGTTTCGACGTAAAACAATTACGTCAAAATTTTTTACGGAAAATATTTCCAACGAAATTTTGACGAAAAATATTTCCATCAAAATTTGTGACTAAAAATATTTCTGTAAAAAATTTTGACGAATTTTTTATCAAAATTCTTTATGAAACCTAAATTTTGCCAAAATATTTCACAAAAAATCATATTCATCGAAATTTTTACGTAAAATATTTCCATCAAAATTTTCAACGAAACACATTTCTATCCAAAATTGTTGACGAAAAAAATTTCATCAAAATTCTTAACAGAATTTAAATTCTGGCGATAGTTTTCGAGGGAAATATTTTCGTTAAACTTTTTGGCAAAAAAAATTTCTGTCGAAAATTTTAATGAAACGCATTTCTATTGAAAATTTTCGAAGGGAAATATTTTCGTCAAGTTTTTTGATAAAAAAACATTTCCATCAAAATTTTCAACGGAACGCATTTCCGTCAAAAAATTTTGATGGAAAATATTTTCGTAAAATTTTTTGACGGAAAAAATATTCTGTCAAAATTCTTTACATAATCTAAATTTTGTCGAAAGTTTCGAATGAAACATTTCCCTCAAAATTTCTAACAAAACAAATTCTGTCGAAATTTTCGTCAGAGCATATTTCCATCGAAATTTTGAACGGAAAACGTTCCGTCAAAATTTTTGACAGAATTCTTTCTCGTCACTTGATGGAAACTAAATTTCGTTAGAAAATTTATTTTTGTAAAAATTTTCATCAGTTGAAAAATCCTGTCGCTTTTCGTCGAAAAGTATTCTGATGAAAAAAATAATTTTGTGATGAAATTTTCATCGGTTGCAACGTAAAAATTTCATCTAAAATATGATCTTTTTTGGTGTTGTGAAAAGTATATACATAATTTTGTTAAAAATTTTAAATTTAATTTAATTTGTAAAGTATAATAATTATATTAAGGAAAAAATGTGTGTCATTTTAAAAGATGTAAAATTGTGTCATTTTAAGATAGAGAAAGAGATAGATAAAGGAGGAGAGAGAGTTGACAAAAAATAAAGGTGTGGGTCCCACCTCTTTGTGAGAGTGAAATGATATAAGTTGTGTCATTTAAAAGGATAAACATTTTTCCCTTATATTAATTTTTAAAAACGGGTAAAATGGTAAAAATATCTCGTTGACCTTCCATTCCATTTTTTTGACTCTCAAACAAGGGAAGGGGATACCCTCCAATTTCCTCCCCTTCCTTCCCCTCCCTCCCCCTTGGATTCCCTTCCTTCTCTTCCCCTCCAAACTCCCAAACAAAGGCTAAGGCGGTCTTTTTCCACGTTCATTTTCACTAATTTGCTTCTTATTTGTGTGAAAATTATTAATTAAAACCTCCCGTGACATTTATTCATTTAGTATATCACCGAACTATGTAGGACAAGCTATAGTTATTAATGGAAAATTATTCTATGGATTGAAAATAAATTAAATTGAAAAATGATTATATTAATTAATTATTCAGTTTAAAAGCTTGATTTTGTATTAAAAAGTATTTCATACATGGGTTTAACTTTTCTTATGTTGTAGGATTGTAGGAGAGAAAAAAAGTAGAGAGAAGTTAATTGTGGGTCCCATATTTTATATTAAAAAAGAAAAGAAGAATTATTTGGCACGGAAAACGAATTTGTGTAAAAAAATGAGAGTATCTCATGTGGCATGAGAGTATTATTTCCCTTCATATATTCATTTTATCTGTGATATTAATTGTTCGTAAAAAATTAATATGATAATTACATGTTTTATCCTAATAAACAAAAGCAGGATAAATTTTAAAATAACATTTTTATTAAGAAACTTAATCAAACGATAAAAGAAGAAGAAACCCAAGGGGACTAATCTTGTTTTTCTTTTAAATATTATCATAACCTCAAGATAAATACCCCTAATA